CATTATCGGGGCCGGGGAGGAACGTGGGAGTTTGGCCAGCCGGGGAGGGACCGTGGGAGGGCTCTAGTCCCGATTAGCTGGACCCAGCAGCAACCTAACCTACCTGTTGGAGCATCTGCCCACTGGTGGTCAGTGCATGTCATAGCGACTGGTTAACTAGTTGACTGTCTGCCCCCTGGTGGTCAGTGCACGTCTACTGGTCGACTGTCTGCCACCTGGTGGTCAGTGCACGTCATAGCGACTGGTCGACCGGCCGACTGTCTGCCCCCTGGTGGTCAGTGCACGTCATAGCAAGTGGTTCAGCGGCCTTAGCATGCCATTAGCATATTACACTTTGGTTGGTTGAACGGCCAACTGGTCGACCAGACACTTAGCCTATTAGGCTTTTGTTCTATAGGAGGACAGCTCTAGCCTGTTTGGCTCAGTGGATAGAGAGTTCTAAACCTCCTGGTTGGTTCCAGGTGATGTCTCGCCACGACTCGTTCAGGACAACCAGATGTGCAAATGCTACTTGTGGGCACATGCGTGTGCCACCCGTGACGTACGTGCGACTGCTCTCTGCAGGGTCTCTCTACCTCACTCCCAAGCAACGTTTCGAGTCACTGGGATCTTCAGGCCATTTCAACTCCGCTCTTTTGGGAGAATTCTCAGTTTTCAGAGACCTACACTGTCTTCCACTAGGAAACGTCACCCAATCCATCCATCCGTCCATCCATCCATCCATCATCATTTATCCATCCATCCATCCATCCATCATCATTATCCATCCATCCTCCCATCTATCCATCCATCTATTTATCCATCCATCCATCCATCCATCATTTATCCATCCATCCTCCCATCTATCCATCCATCTATTTATCCATCCATCCATCCATCCATCATTTATCCATCCATCCTCCCATCTATCCATCCATCTATTTATCCATCCATCCATCCATCCATCATTTATCCATCCATCCTCCCATCTATCCATCCATCTATTTATCCATCCATCCATCCATCCATCATTTATCCATCCATCCTCCCATCTATCCATCCATCTATTTATCCATCCATCCATCCATCCATCATTTATCCATCCATCCTCCCATCTATCCATCCATCTATTTATCCATCCATCCATCCATCCATCATTTATCCATCCATCCTCCCATCTATCCATCCATCTATTTATCCATCCATCCATCCATCCATCATTTATCCATCCATCCTCCCATCTATCCATCCATCTATTTATCCATCCATCCATCCATCCATCATTTATCCATCCATCCTCCCATCTATCCATCCATCTATTTATCCATCCATCCATCCATCCATCATTTATCCATCCATCCTCCCATCTATCCATCCATCTATTTATCCATCCATCCATCCATCCATCATTTATCCATCCATCCTCCCATCTATCCATCCATCTATTTATCCATCCATCCATCCATCCATCATTTATCCATCCATCCTCCCATCTATCCATCCATCTATTTATCCATCCATCCATCCATCCATCATTTATCCATCCATCCTCCCATCTATCCATCCATCTATTTATCCATCCATCCATCCATCCATCATTTATCCATCCATCCTCCCATCTATCCATCCATCTATTTATCCATCCATCCATCCATCCATCATTTATCCATCCATCCTCCCATCTATCCATCCATCTATTTATCCATCCATCCATCCATCCATCATTTATCCATCCATCCTCCCATCTATCCATCCATCTATTTATCCATCCATCCATCCATCCATCATTTATCCATCCATCCTCCCATCTATCCATCCATCTATTTATCCATCCATCCATCCATCCATCATTTATCCATCCATCCTCCCATCTATCCATCCATCTATTTATCCATCCATCCATCCATCCATCATTTATCCATCCATCCTCCCATCTATCCATCCATCTATTTATCCATCCATCCATCCATCCATCATTTATCCATCCATCCTCCCATCTATCCATCCATCTATTTATCCATCCATCCATCCATCCATCATTTATCCATCCATCCTCCCATCTATCCATCCATCTATTTATCCATCCATCCATCCATCCATCATTTATCCATCCATCCTCCCATCTATCCATCCATCTATTTATCCATCCATCCATCCATCCATCATTTATCCATCCATCCTCCCATCTATCCATCCATCTATTTATCCATCCATCCATCCATCCATCATTTATCCATCCATCCTCCCATCTATCCATCCATCTATTTATCCATCCATCCATCCATCCATCATTTATCCATCCATCCTCCCATCTATCCATCCATCTATTTATCCATCCATCCATCCATCCATCATTTATCCATCCATCCTCCCATCTATCCATCCATCTATTTATCCATCCATCCATCCATCCATCATTTATCCATCCATCCTCCCATCTATCCATCCATCTATTTATCCATCCATCCATCCATCCATCATTTATCCATCCATCCTCCCATCTATCCATCCATCTATTTATCCATCCATCCATCCATCCATCATTTATCCATCCATCCTCCCATCTATCCATCCATCTATTTATCCATCCATCCATCCATCCATCATTTATCCATCCATCCTCCCATCTATCCATCCATCTATTTATCCATCCATCCATCCGTCCATCCATTCACTGATTTATAGAACCATCCATGCATCCACCTACAGACCCACCCATCCATTCTTCATCCATCCATTCACCCACCAACCCACTCACCCATCCACCCATCCACCCACTCACCCACCAACCTACTCATTTATTCATTCACCCCTCCATCCACTGATCCATACATGCATACATCCACCCACCAACCCACTCACCCACCCATATATCCATCCATGTATCCATCCATCCATCCCATGTCCATGGAGTTCTGTGTGTGACAGGCACTGTGACATGTTCTAACACGGTACAAGAGAAGTCCGAGACCCCTTCCGTGACTTAGGAACACCATCTATATAAGGCATAGAAAACTGTTCTGAATATCACCAGTCTCCAAATCTCTACACATAACGTCTGGACCGCAGAATCAGACAAGTTCAGTCCCCGAGGAATGCGATTGGACCTATCCTACCACTAACATTTTGGTACATAGAAAGGATTACAAAAACCCACCATTTTATTGGTCTAAAAATTTGCTTCTTCGGTGGGTTATGATGTGTGATGTGTACCTTTAGACCAGGGGTGGGGAAACGTCCGGTCCGAGGGCCGTATGAGCCCTGTGAAATCACTTGGTCTGGCCCTGCCCAGGCATTGGGGGGTGGGGGAGGTCAGTTAATGAAATATCCGACCCAATATAGCCGGCTAATTTCTAAGTCGATAATTTTGTACGGCCATAGAGTGATGTGCTAAATATCCAAATGGCCCCTTTGGCAGAAAAAAGGTCCCCTCCCCCACCCCAATTTGGAGAAAGGAAGAATAGAATTTTGGATCGGCTGCCTCCTGCACGCCCCCTACTGGGGATGGAGCCTGAAAACCAGGCATGTGCCCTGACGGGGAACTGAACCCTGACCTCCTGGTCCATAGGTCAACGCTCAACCTCTGAGCAAATCCGGCCCAGCACACCTTTTCCTACATCTGCTATTCTCCCTCATTTCTGTAATCTATTAATTCTGGATAATAATATCTCCTGGGAAAACATTTCCCAAACTGTGTTCCCCCCTCTGCCCTGTCTAATTATGTAACCACTAGAGGCCTGGTGCACGAATTCGTGCACAGGAGGGTCCCTCGGCCTGGCTGGCAGTGGGAGCCACTGGGGCCATGGGGGGAGGGGCTGTGGGAAGTTGGCTCTGGGAGTGCACTGACTGCTAGGGGGCAGCTCCTGGGTTGAGTGTGTGCCCCCTGTACCTCCTGGTCCATAGGTCAATGCTCAACCCCTGAGTAAATCCGGCCCAGCACACCTTTTCCTATATCTGCTATTCTCCCTCATTTCCGTAATCTATTAATTATGGATAATAATACCTCCTGGGAAAACATTTCCCCAACTGTACCCATCCCCCGCTCCGCCCTGTCTAATTATGTAACCGCTAGAGGCCTGGTGCACGAATTCGTGCACAGGTGGGTCCCTCGGCCTGGCTGGCAGTGGGAGCCAATTGGGGCCATGGGGGGAGGGACCGTGGGAAGTTGGCTCTGGGAGTGAACTGACCACCAGGGGGCAGCTCCTGAGTTGAGTGTGTGCCCCCTGGTGGTCAGTGCGCATCATAGACTAGAGGCCTGGTGCATGAAATTCGTGCATGGGAGGGGGGGTTCCCTCAGCCCGGCCTGCACCCTCTCCAATCTGGGACCCCTTGGGGGATGTCCGACTGCTGGCTTAGGCCCACAGTCGGACATCCTTCTCGCAATCGGGGACTGCTGGTTCCTATCCGCTCACCTGCTTGCCTGCCTGATCGCCCCTAACCACTATGCCTGCTGGCCTGCTCACCCCCAACTAACCCCCCTCCAATGGCCTTCTCGCCCAAACTGCCCCCCTTTGCTGGCCTGATCACCCCCAACTCCCCTCCCCTCCTGGCCTGATCGCCCCTAACCGCCTCTGCCTTGGTCCCGCCACCATGGTTTTGTCTGGAAGGACGACCGGAAAGTCTCCCGGTCTAATTAGCATATTACCCTTTTATTAGTATGGATAACACTTTCCGTTTTCACCCTCCAAGGTCACATGGCTTGCAGCTGGCTGTATCCAGCACACTTTTCAATGCCGCCCTGAATTCTGTGTCATTTACTATTTATTTTCTTTTCTCTTCCTTCCTATGAAACATTGGCTTGTATCATTTTAAAAAAACGACTTTTATGGATCTCAGAGAGGAAGGGAGAGAGAGAGAGAAACATCCATGATGAGAAAGAATCGCAGACCGGCTGCCTCCTGCACGCCCCCTACTGGATGGGGATGGAGCCCGCAACCCGGACCTGTGCCCTGGACCGGGAATCGAACCAGTGACCTCCTGGTTCCTAGGTCGACGCTCAACCCCTGAGCCTCACCGGCTGGGGCGGCGGCAGTCACCTCTCGCTGGGGCCTCCGTCCTGGGTGCAGGAGCAGAAGGGGAAGGTCCCACAGCAGGGCTGCAGCCACGGCTTCCAGAGGATGTGGCTCAGGGAGAACTGTGGGGGTACGGGGGTCAGGGTGGCTCTGTGCTCCTCCACGGCCGCGCCCACCCTGGCGACCACCGTGTGGAACAGGGGCTCGGAGTCGGGGGACAGGGGCCGCGCTTCCGAGGGGTCGCTGGAGAGGTCGAACAGCAGAGGAGGGCTGTGCTGGGTCACGCCGTCCCCCGAGCAGGGGCACACGCCGTGGCCGTAGCAGGCGCCCGCACCCTCGGGGTGGAACCTGGGTGTCATGTAGTGGACCTTCCACAGTCGGCCACCTGCAGGCAGAGAGGAGGCGGGTGGTCAGGGTAGCGAGAGCCTGATGGACAGTAGACACCGGGCCCACCAATGGGGCACAGTCACCAACATCCATGGGCTATGGAGAAAAATGGCCCGGCCAGTGTGGCTCAGTGGTTGAGCGTCGACCCAGGCACCATGAGGTCAGGGTTCGATTCCCGCTCAAGGGCACAGGCCCGGGTTGCGGGCTCCATCCCCAGTAGGGGGCGTGCGGGAGGCAGCCGATCAGTGATTCTCTCTTATCATGGATGTTTCTCTCTCTCTCTCCCTCTCCCTTCCTCTCTGAAATCAATAAAAATATATTTAAAAAATAAAATATGGAGTCTGGCTGGTGTGGTTCAGTGGTTGAGCATTGACGTAGAAATAATTTATCAATCTAATCTATCAATTTTCTGTATATAGAGGTTGAATCTATGACTATATAGTTTACTATCAACTGTGCAAGGATGATGGTTAATAACTACTAAAAGTAGACCTCAGTGAAGTGGTTTGCACTGTGGCATACTGGAAAACATATACCTACCTACCTACCTACCTAACTGTGCATCCGCCTATCTATACATCATCTAGCCACCATTTTTCAACTATCATCCATCCATCCATCCATCCATCCATCCATCTATCCATCTAACCATCTAACATTACCTAGTCACCATCTCTCAACTACCTATCATCTATCTACCTCCCTACCTATCTATGCATCCATCTATCAACTATCTATAATCTATCTATCTATCTATCTATCTATCTATCTATCTATCTATCTCTATCTATCATCGATCTACCTACCCATCCATCTATCTATCTACCCATCTATCTATACATCATCTAATCACCATCTCTCAACTATCTCTCATATCTATCTATCTATCTATCTATCTATCTATCTATCTATTTATGTATCTATCATGTATCTTTCTATCCATCCACCCATCCATCCATCCATCTGCCCATCTATGCATCATCTACTCACCATCTCAACTATCTATCTATCTATCCATCCATCTATGTATCTACCTATCTATACATAATCTAATCAACATCTCTCCTCTATCTATCTATCTATCCATCCATCCATCTACGTATCTACCTATCTATACATCATCTAATCACCATCTCTCATATCTATCTATTATCTATCTATCTATCTATCTATCTATCTATCTATCTATTATCTATCTATCTATCTATCTATCTATCTATCTATCATCTATCTATCATCTATCTATCCACCCACACCCACCACCCATCTATCTATGCATCCACCCACCCCCCTGCCCTCTCGGTTCCTTTTCTCCCAAGAACCCGGCAGGCACCCGCCCCCCAGCCCCCCGTGTCGGGCAGGCGTGGACTCACTGTCCCTGTCGTGCCAGCGTGCGGCGTGGAGGTGCCTCCCGCAATAATGGAACAGGAACTCGTGTGCCGAGTGCTCGGCAGCTCCTAGAAGCAAGGGCACCAGGCTACGGCCATCAATCACCCTGGTTCAGGGACGAGACAACGGGAAGGAGTCAGACCGAGGCCACCGGGGCCGTGTCGCTTCTGGGAATGAACCCCCAAAGCTGCAAGGGACCCCCTCCACCCAGTACCCCTTAGCTGACAGTCAGGGGAGCAGAGATGAGCTGCCTCCAGGATGGATGGATGGATGGATGGATAAGATGGATAGATAATTAGATGGATAGATAGATAGATAGATAGATAGATGGATAGATAGATAGATAGATAGATGATAGATAGATAGATAGAGATGTATTTTCCAAAAACAATTATTCTAGTCATTTATGAGATTTTTGAAAATTTATAACATTATTGATATCATTAAATACTATTAAAAATATTTTATTTTTAGTAGTAATGTGTGGAAGGATTTCCAAATGTATCCACATCACATTTCTACTAAAACAAGTATTTGTTAAAGAAAGGATTATAGATAGATATATAGATAGATAGATAGATATATGGATGACAGATAGATGGATGGATGATAGATGACAGATGATAGATACATGATAGATAAATAGATGACAGATATAGATAGATATATGGATAGACAGATAGATGATAGGTAATGGATAATAGATAAATAAATAGATAGATACATAGATGACAGATAGATAGGTAGATGGATAGACAGATGATGGATGGATGGATGATAGATGATAGATAGATACATACATACATACATACATAGATGATAGAGATAGATGGACAGATGATAGATAGATAGATAGCTAGATAGATAA